ATTTGTCACTTCCACTGTATAATCGTAAGGGGTTTGATTTAGGTTATACCTGAATGGTCCCCTGGTTTTTCCCTACTTTTTTTCAACTTAAGTTTGAATTTGGCAATAAGGAGTCATGATCTGAGCCACAGTCAGCTCCCGGTCTTGTTTTTGCTCACTGTATAGAGCTTCTCCATCTTTGGCTGCAAAGAATATAATCAATCTGATTTCAGTATTGACCATCTGGTGAAGTCCAGGTGAAGAGTCTTCTCTTGTGTTGTTGGAAGAGAGTGCTTGCTATGACCAGTGAGTTCTCTTGGCAAAACTCCGTTAGCCTTTGACCTGCTTCGTTTTGTATTCCAAGGACAAATTTACCTGTTACTCCAGGTATCTCTTGACTTCCTACTTTTGCATTCCAGTCCCCTATAATGAAAAGGACATCTTTTTTGGGTGTTAATTCTAGAAGGTCTTGTAGGTCTTCTTAGAACCATTCAATTTCAGCTTCTTCAGCATTACTGTTGGGGCATAGACTTGGATTACTGTGATAGCGTTGCAAAGATCCCGTGGAGAAGGGAAAGGCTACCACTACAGCATTGTGGCCTAGAGCATTTCAGGGGCTGTAGAGTCCACGGGGTTGCAAAGAGTTGGACACGAGTGAGCGAATTTGACTTTCACTGTGATACTGAATGATTTGCCCTGGAAATGAACAAAGATCATTCTGTCGTTTTTGAGACTGCATCCAAGTACTGCATTTCAGACTCTTTTGTTGACTATGATGGCTACTCCCTAAAGCTAGCGGAGGTGATGGAATTCCAGCGGAGCTATTTCCAATCCTAAAAGATGATGCTGTGAAAGTGCTGTACTCAATATGCCAGCAAATCTGGAAGAATCAGCAGTGGCCACAGGACTGGAAAAGGTCAATTTTCATTCCAGTCCCAAACAAAGGCAATGCCAAAGAATGCTCTCAAAGAACTACCAAACAATTGCACTCATCTCACACGCTAGCAAAGTAATGCTCAAAATTCTCCAAGCCAGATTTCAACAGTATGTGAACCATGAACTTCCAGATGTTCTAGCTGGATTTAGAAAAGGCAGAGGAACCACAGATCAAATTGCCAACATCTGCTGGATCATCGAAAAAGCAAGAGAATTCCAGAAAAACATCTACTTCTACTTTATTAACTACTCCAAAGCCTTTGACTATGTAGATCACAACAAACTGTGGAAAATTCTGAAAGAGATGGGAATACCAAACCACCTGACCTGCCTCCTGAGAAATCTGTATGCAGGTCAAGAAGCAGCGGTTAGAACTGGACATGGAACAGACTGGTTCCAAATCAGGAATGGAGTACGTCAAGGCTGTGTATTGTCACTCTGCTTATTTAACTTATATGCAGAGTACATCAGCCAGTATGCTGGGCTGGATGAAGCACAAGCTGGAATCAAGATTGTGAGGATAAATAATTAATAACCTCAGATATGCAGATGACACCAGCCTTATGGCAGAAAGCGAAGAACTAAATAGCCTCTTGATGAAAGGGAAAGAGGAGAGTGAAAAAGCTGACTTAAAACTCAACACTCAGAAAACTAAGATCATGGCATCCTGTCCCATCACTTCATGGCAAATAGATGGGGAAACAGTGGAAACAGTGACAGACTTTATTTTGGGGGGCTCCAAAATCACTGCACATGGTGACTGCAGCCATGAAACTAAAAGATGCTTGCTCCTTGGAAGAAAAGCTATGACCAAACTAGACAGCATATCAAAAAGCAGAGATATTACTTTGCTGACAATGGTCATCTAGTCAAAGCTATGATTTTTCCAGTAGTCATGTACAGATGTAAGGGTTGGACTGTAACAATAGCTGAGTGCTGAAGAACTGATGCTTTTGAACTGTGGTGTTTGAAAAGACTCTTGAGAGTCCCTTGGACTGCAAAGAGATCCAACCAGTCCATCCTAAAAGAAATCAGTCCTGAATATTCATTGGAAGGACTGATGCTGAAGCTGAAACTCCAATGCCTTGGCCACCTGATGCAAAGAACTGACTCACTGGAAAAGACCCTGATGCTGGGAAAGATTGAAGGCAGGAGGAGAAGGGGACGACAGAGGATGAGATGGTTGGATGGCATCACCAACTTGATGGACATAAGTTTGAGTAGGACTCGGGAGCTGGTGATGGACAGGAAGCTTGGCATGCAGCAGTCCATGGGGTTGCAAACAGTTGGACGCGACTGAGCTATTGAACTGAACTGAAGCAGTACCTAGCGTCAGCATCTACCAGTAATTCAGAAATCCTGAACAAATTGTACTTCTCTAAATATTAACAAGGTTGTGTTGATGAAAGCATCTTGACATCAAAGCTATCCTGCAAGACAAATGAACAATCTATTTCCTACAGTATTTGAAAACATGTAAATCTAGGTAATTTTATATGCAATTTTAAACAACTGCAGCTAAAATGCAGTATTTACTATGTATCGAGCTCAGTTCAAAATATTTTTCCACTACTTCATTTGATCTTTGTACCACACTTGAATGGTAAGTATGTTTATCTTCCTCCTTTCCCACAGGTGGAACTGAGCACAGAGGATCAGGTCACCCAGGCCACCAAGTCAGCAGGTCAAGCAATATGTTTGAGTTTGCACACTTAAATTCCGTAATATGGTGTGTGTGGCATCCATGGATGATTTTTATTCTTTTAATCTACAGATATCAAAAAGGTATCTACTCCAAGGGTTAGACACTGATAAAGCACTGTCACATGATGTCTGTTAAACAGTAGAATGGATGACATCACTGTCAGAAAAGTAATCTAAGAATAAGCAGGATACATGTAAAATGATATAGCTGAGGACACCTAGGGAAACAGCTGCAGACAGACTACCAGCTGAGAAATCACTGTGATCACCTCTTTATACAATGGCATCAGGCAGACAGTAAGCCTAAGAGGCAGCAAAACAAGCATCATTGGTCTTCACAAGTAGTAGCTGTGGGCAAAAATATGTATGGATGTGCATGGACCACTTCGGGTACCTCCATGCTCCCTGCCAACATGCACGTGAAGAGCTGTGTGCCCATGCGAGGCCGGGCACCTCCATGCTCCTGCCAACGTGCACGTAAAGAGCCATGTGCCCATGCGAGGCGGGGCACCTCCATGCTCCTGCTAACATGCACATGAAGAGCCCTGTGCCCATGTGAGGTGGGGCACCTCCATGATTCTGCCAACATGCACATGAAGAGCCGTGTGCCCATGTGAGGTGGGGCACCTCCATGCCCCTGCCAACATGCACGTGAAGAGCCCTGTGCCCATGCGAGGCGGGGCAAATCCCTGCTCCCTGCCAACATGCACGTGAAGAGCAGTGTGCCCATGCGAAGCGGGGCACCTCCATGCTCCCTGCCAACATGCACGTGAAGAACCCTGTGCCCATGCGAGGCAGGGCACCTCCATGCTCCCTGCCAACATGCACGTGAAGAGCCCTGTGCCCATGCGAGGCGGGGCACCTCCATGCTCCTGCTAACATGGACATGAAGAGCCCTGTGCCCATGCGAGGTGGGGCACCTCCATGATTCTGCCAACATGCACATGAAGAGCCGTGTGCCCATGTGAGGTGGGGCACCTCCATGTCCCTGCCAACATGCACATGAAGAGCCGTGTGCCCATGCGAGGCAGGGCACCTCCATGCTCCCTGCCAACATGCACGTGAAGAGCCCTGTGCCCATGCGAGGCGGGGCACCTCCTTGCTCCCTGCCAACATGCGCATGAAGAGCAGTGTGCCCATGCAAGGCTTGTCTGGGCACATGTATGTCCCCGTGTGTACTGGGACGAGATTGGAAGATTACTCCCAGAGATTAAACCTGAATTAATATCTGAAACAATGAAACAATAATTCAGATTCTACATTTATTTTGTGATCAGAATTAAGTAAATATTATCATATCTAAGTAAACGGGGAAAAAGTATCCTAAAGGTGAAGTTCAGCAAATTATTGAATAAACTGCCAAGCTGATCAAAGAATGAATCACTTAGCATCGTCATGAGGTTTGATTAAATATGTGCAAACCAAGCTCTAATTCTTTAACTTGGTGACCTTTTTTTTTTTTAGTTCAGATAATAGTTTGTTGATTCTTAGCCTGTTGCATACTAGCTAGTAAAGAGAGTCAGATTATTAAAAAATTAGAGGGTACTGCAAGCTTCCACAGGAAGGATCAAGATGCCATCACACATCAGCTTTTAGGGAGGAAACAAAATAAAAACCGGTACTTTATTCTCTGGGAAGATGAGGCACATTAAGAAAAAGTCTGATCCATTTAAGAAAGAATTACCAAGATGTCACTCAGTCGTGTCCAACTCTTTATGACCTCATGGACTGTAGCCTACTAGGCTCCTCCATCCATGGAATTTTCCAGGCCAGAATACTGGAGTGGGTTGCCATTTCCTTCTCCAGGGGATCTTCCCGACCCAGGGATCAAACCTAGGTCTCCCGCATCACAGGCAGACGCTTTACTGTCTGAGCCACCGGGGAAGCCCCAAAGAATATATAGAAATTTTAAAAATAATATCTAGCATATTTCATTTTAAAAACCATTTATTAAATATAAATAAATCATTACATTAATGGATAGAAAACAGGAAACTGATGAGGGACTATCCACAAAGTATCTAACTCTGTTGACGCAGAAACCAGATGAGGGATCATTCCAAACTATCTGACTCTGTTGGTACAGCATCAAGCAAAAGGAAACACAAGCAGACACTGATGCAGATCCCTTGTGGCGTGCACTTGGCAACAGCTCCCAACCACAGCTGGGATACATGGGCAGCAAGCTTTTTTCTCTGACCCCACCTGTGAAGACCCTGAGACATTACAGTGCTGGAGAATGCCCTAGTTAGTTAGGTTAGGTTATTCATGCTTTTTCAGAAACCCTAAAAAAGGAACCATTTTGTTTTTGCCCTCCCAAAGCTTGCCCATCATTATACCCATTCCCTTCACAATATCTAGGGGGCTCTTATTGTACTTACTTGGGATAATTTCTAGATTGAATGAAGGGCAGAATCTCAGAGTCTTGACTAGATGGTGGAAGTAGTAAGTCTCGAAATCGTTCTGTCAAAAGAAAAATAAACATCAAGTTATGAAAAAAAGTCATAAAATAATTTCAAAATAAAATTATTTCCTATTCTTTAAATTTGCCATTCTGACTTCATTTCTTGTATTAGAAATTTACTCACCATTTTATGTACTACTAAAATAGGTCTTTATTTCACTTTAATGATTGCATATCTTTCTGAATAAGATATCATAACAACTGTGCATATAAATATAGCAAGTATTCATTAGTATAAACTAGTACTAAAATTTTATAATTGAAAGGTTAAATAACCTTTATAAAATAAAGATTATTTATTATATATGACTAATAAAATATACAAAGAGATGTACAAATTCATTAGTAACCTGGAAATGAGAATTAAAACCATACACCATAAGAGAGCATTCACATTGTGTGGCATTCAATTGATAGAAATTCATCTCACAGGACCAAATGTTAGGACTGTATCAACATAAGCTCTTATATATTTCTGGTGGATATGCAAGTTGATGCAATAGTTTTGGAAAACAAATTGGTGTTATCTTTTAAGCTTAAATTTTGCATAACCTATTCAGGTCAGTTCAGTTCGGTTGCTCAGTCGTCTCCGACTCATTGCGACCCCATGAATCGTAGCATGTCAGGCCTCCCTGTCCATCACCAACTCCCAGAGTTTACTCAAACTCATGTCCATTGAGTCGGTGATGCCATCCAACCATCTCATCCTCTGTCGTCCCCTTCTCCTCCGGCCTTCAATCTTTCCCAGCATCAGGGTCTTTTCCAATGAGTCAACTCTTTGCATGAGGTGGCCAAAGTATTGGAGTTTCAGCTTCAGCATAAGTCCTTCCAATGAACACCCAGGACTGATCTCTTCTATGATGGACTGGTGGATCTCCTTGCAGTCCAAGGGACTCTCAAGAGTCTTCTCTAACACCACAGTTCAAAAGCATCAATTTTTCGGTGCTCAGCTTTCTTCACAGTCCAACTCTCACATCCATACATGACCACTGGAAAAACCATAGCCTTGACTAGACGGACCTTTGTTGGCAAAGTAACGTCTCTGCTTTTTAATATGCTGTCTAGGTTGGTCATAACTTTCCTTCCAAGGAGTAAGCGTCTTTTAATTTCATGGCTGCAATCACCATCTGCAGTGATTTTGGAGCCCCGAAAAACAAAGTCAACCACTGTTTCCACTGTTTCCCCATCTATTTGCCATGAAGTGATGGCACCAGATGCCATGATCTTAGTTTTCTGAATGTTGAGCTTTAAGCTAACCTATTAGCCTGGTAAATATTCTGCAGAAACTTTCAAATATGTCTCAGACAGCAAGAAAAAGAACATTCATGGCAGCTCTGTTCAAGACACCATAAATGGAAACAACTCAATTGTTTATGAACAGAAGAAAGGATAATTTGTAGCATATTCACACAATGGAATATTCTTTGAAATAAGACAATGAATTCAGTTACAAATAAAAACACAGTAAATCATATTAGTAGGATCTTGAGTGAAAAATAGTATCAGCAGATTACACACAGAAGAATATTATTTTTTGAGTTAAAAATAACTAAGCAATGTATTGTTTGGATATGTTACCCAACAAAGCAAACCTGGCAAATCTGGGAAAAAAGGTATAATATACCCAATTTGGGATAATGATTACATTTTAGGAGGAGTAAGGGGAAGAAATAGGAGGAAGCAAAAAGATAAGTGTATGCAGTTGTTAATAATGCCATATGTATTTGTTATAGCATCATAAATCAGTGAATGAATGAATGAGAGCCAGGAATTATCCAGTGACAACACTGGGTCATGAACCAAGAATGTGATTAATATATTTCTGTGCTCATGAATTCATAATAAAGGAAAGAGGGAGAAAGGGAGGAAAACAAAGAGGAAGAGAAAGAGACAGGTAGAGAGAAAGGAAACAGAAAAGAAGAGAAGGAAATAAAAGAGGGCAGAGAAAAGAAGATTCCTCAGTTCCATCTTAAGAAACATTTATAACAAAAAGCTATCTGTACTGATAGAGTAACCTATCACTCTAATACTGATCCCACATTTCTAGGATTAGATGGTCATTATCTCTAGTCATCCATAGGGAAGACTTTCTCGATCCCTCCTCTTTCTCTCTTTCTGCCAAATCTGGAACAGATGGCCCTACTGGGTACTCATAGGACACTCTGTGCTTACATGCTCATGGAATCTATCACATTACATTTTTATTAGTATATATATTTGTCTATCCACCCTTGAAATTAAAAGACGCTTACTCTGGAAGAAAAGCTATGACCAACCTAGACAGCATATTAAAAAGCAGAGACATTACTTTGCCGACAAAGGTCCATCTAGTCAAAGCTATGGTTTTTCCAGTAGTCATGTACGGATGTGAGAGTTGGATTATAAAGAAAGTTGAGTGCCTAAGAATTGATGCTTTTGAACGGTGGTGTTGGAGAAGACTCTTGAGGGTCCCTTGGACTGCAAGGAAATCAAATCAGTCAATCGTAAAGGAAGTCAGTTCTGAACATTCATTGGAAGGACTGATGCTGAAGCCGAAACTGCAATGCTTTGGCCACCTGATGTGAAGAACTGATTCATTTGAAAAGACCCTGATGCTGAGAAAGATTGAAGGCAGGAGGAGAAGGGGATGACAGAGGATGAAATGGTTGGATGGCATCACCGACTCAATGGACATGAGTTTGAGCAAGCTCTGGGAATTAGTGATGGACAAGGAGGCTTGACGTGCTGCAGTCCATGGGGTTGCAAAGAGTCAGACACGACTGAGCGACTGAACTGACTGACTGATCACCCCCCTCCTGGTAGATGGGTATTGTACCACCAGAATACAGAACATTACTTGATATATATTAAGTTGCTGGACATATATTAGTTGGAAGGCTATTTTCAACTTCCATTTTTACTGGATATATAAAATTATTTGTTCATGTTAATCTTAATGTTTTTTCGAAGAGCTGCTTTGGTCATCATCGATCAATCACAAAAAGCCAGAGACCTCTTCTCTAGCCTTGACAGAGTCACACCATCAGGCTGAGACAGAGTACAAAGCTGAAACTCCACACTGCAGTAAATCCATCACTAACTGAAGGTGAGCAATTTCAACAAAGTGCTTAAAATTGACAATTGATGACAGTCAATGTTTCCAGGCTACTAAATAACTCGATGGTAAACATTTGTGAGAAATGAATAAACATTTGTAAACTTATGTGAGCAGTGGTTACCAAGTATGGCTAAGAAGCAGGATATGGATTATATCTTCATATTTATTAAAATATATGGAATCAGATGTGACTTCTACTCTGCGTTTTGTTTCCACTGCTCTGACAGTTCTTACAATACACTTGGGGAGGAGCTAAGAAAATTCAAACAGAGGCGGCTATAACCCTATAGACCACAGATCCAAGAAAGCATACTTTATTTTTCTTCTTCAGGTACACTTACTCTTTGAGTTTATATATTTTTAAATTAAAGCCTATCATTAACTGATATGCTACCATCTTTATCAACAAAATCAGTGCTTATTTCAGTGAAATGACTACTAAATTTTTCTGATGACACGACCTTTGCTTTTCAGTCTACTACTCAATTTATGTAGCATCCCATTTAATGAATGATTTGCAGTGTTTTTTGCCCTCCAATTATGCCTTTCCTAAAATAGATCTTGAAAAATAAAACCAAAACCCAACAGCAGACATGAACTTTACACATCAAGTGAAGAATTGTTCAAACAACAATGTTAAGTATGAAATATTCTTGGCTGCTAAAAACTAATGTAAGTTAAAGTTTGCTGAGTGATTCCCCAGCTGAGTTAAATGCAAAGAAATAAAAACATAATTAATACAAAGAAGTATAATATAATACAGCTATAGAATATCCTTATTTACATAAGCACAATGCCCATTTGATTATAAATCTGGAAGAACATGTCTGGATATGACATTACATTAATAGAATGAAAAAAAAAAAACAGAAAATCACCACCCTAGATACACAGCAAAAGTAGCATATAAGAGATCATTTATAAAGCTACCCAAATTATGAAGTCTATAGTTAATATTCCTATATCTGAAGCACCCTTTAATCTGAGTATCATAAATGTAAGGGATACCAAGTGAACATGCAGATCCTTGAGTAACTAGGTCAAAAAAATTCACATACACACAAATAGAAAATATATGCAGTACCTGAAAATTATCCTTTTAAAATTTCTATTTCTATCACTATATGTATAAATTCTAAATGTGAAAAATTAACTTTTCCCCATAAAAGTATGATAACAATATTCCTTTATGAGAATAAAAATAAATGATAGTTGTCCTCAGAAAAGTTCAAGTATATGAAAAATTGTTTCTAATGCTTACACTGAAGTTTCTTTAGTCTCCTAGATTTCAACTATTTAATTAGTATTCCATCATTTATCTAATGTAAGGAAAAGACAAAAATAAACTCATGTTGCTTTGCTTAAATAGCAAAAATTTTAAAATAATACTTCTTCCCTTGGAGCAAAATATCATACCAGCTGAACTGCTTTCTCAGTAGGCCCAAAGTCTATTTCTTAAGAAAATGGCAATTATCCAAAAACTAGAGCTCAGTTCCTTCACAGGGCTTCTTAGAACAATTTCATTAAAGCCACGAAAAGAACTAGAGGATTTTCTGCAAAGTGATATTTTGATGAGCTGACTAATGATGTGATAATGTCTGACCATGATTTTCTACCAGTGGGGGACATATCTTAATTAACACAAGCTTTCGTAGCCTTTCACCCACTCTTTCTTTCTCTCATTCAATCAACAAAGGAATTTTGAGGAGATTAGGCTTGGATGACATGCTGCACACATCTAAGGTAATTTGGGTTCCCTGGACAATCAATTGTGAGACAATGTACATATTTACTCATAAACAAATATGAGAAAAAATAATCTTTCCAATTCTAATTTAAACTTTTTTGTACACTTACAGTGACTCAAATTCTTCATTTTTCTTTTGGTGGAAAATAAGCAAT